TTCCACTGAGGACAGAAAAAGATACTTGATGTCTGCAGGGAATCTAAAAACAAACCACACAAATGCGTGTACACACAGCAGCAGGAGACAGGGACCTGGTTCATTCCCACTTCCCTCCTGGTCCAGAGAGAACCCTGGCCCCACTGAGATGAGCCAGGAAAAAAGGCTTCACTTGCCTGTCAAGCAGTTGTGGTGCACACCTTGCTGGTGGCCTCAACTACCCCAAAGGGCACAGCCTCAGTGGGGAAATAGCAGAACTTGGCTGCCTTGATAGTGTGATCTCTGACTCCCATGGCAAAGAAGGGAAGAATGAAGGAGACAGGCCAACGGAAGCTGGCGTACATGGTGGCCCATGGGAATCTTCTCCTTCTGGCCTGGTTCAACCTCGAATCTCGACATTCTGACGTTGGTCAATGTGACCTAGATAATAGGGTCCTGGCTTTCTCTTGAGGCCTGTTTCCCCATTTATAAAAGTCGAAATTGCCCTAAGATTCAGCTCTCCAATGCTGATTGTCCATGTTTCAAGACCAAAAGGCCCAGAGGAGTGGGCCTGGCTAATGTTTCTGGACCCCACTGCCATACATGCATATCCCCAGCTGCTTCCCATGCACATTTGGCCTCCACTTTGCCTACAGAGGGCAGGGTCAGGACCAGAGATTTTTACTGAGTCAAAGTCATATGGGAAGAGGGAGGGAGGAGAGATACAGGCTCACATTTCCAGGAGGAGGTTTTCTGAGCACAGAAGGGGCAGGGTGAACCATAGAATACCTCTGAGACTCAGGCTCATACTTACACTCCACCTAAGCTTTCACTGATGCTCATAAGTCCCCAGTAGAAGGTAGTGGGAGAGACATGGGCACAAGTAGTGGATAGTGGTTCACACTGGGGACACCCAGACCTCAGAGGCAAAACAGAGAGTAGAAAGTAACCTACCTCAGGATTCCCAACAGTAGAGGGCTACAGGCTCCTAATTGGAAGAAGTAAGGCCCAGAGGGGTCAAGAATACAGCTGAGTCTCGATCTTCTCATCTGCCTCATGGGATAATGATCCCAATTTTGTAGATGAACCTGAAACACTCAGATGAATGCCTACCAAAGAGTTGGGGTCAAGGAACAACAGAGTGGCCCCTATGTCTGTAATCCCAACTCCCGCCCTCAGTTATGTGCTCCTTCCACTGCTCAATGTATGGCAGGAAGTTAGAACCTGTAGCCTTCTCACCAAAGCCTACAGTGACTACCACCTGTTCCTGTCCAAGCCATGCTGGAAGCAGAGGGGCAGCAGAAAGCGAGGACAAAGTCCCTTTCTCAAACACATGTCTTGTGCATTCTGCCCCAGGAAAAACTCCAGATGAGGCCTAGAGACACAGGAGTCATGTACTTCTGGGGAGAGACCATGGGCTTCTGAAGTTTTATGGAGAAAAGCCAAAGGCAGCTCAGTCAGGGGAAATGTATAACCATCATGCTGATAAGGAAAGGCCTTCAACCTGCCATGGTCAGCTCTTCCTGTAAGCTCAGGGCCCCTACTGGAAGGCCCCAACAGGGGAAGGGTCAGAGGATGTTTGGAGGAAATAGCTAGATACACACACAAATATTGCTCTTGATATGGGTTACTGCAGAAGCCAGGTTTTCACTTGCCCCAAGATCCGCATCAAAGACTGCTCAAGACCCAGATTCCCCAGCTGCATTTTCTGATCCTCACTCTACCAGCAGCTCTGCTTATCCCATGAACAGCATGAGGTCTGAGCACAAGGCCTAGCACTGAACAGGTCCCCACTTATTCTTTATTTGCCTTCCTTTGGTCCAAGATGCCCCAAACCCAGCTCTTTCTCTAGGAAACATCCCAGGGAGAAGAGAGACTTGAGCCACAGGGATAGAAAGGCTGGGATTTTCAAAGCCCAGTAGAGTCTACTGCCTGAACCACCTCTGCCTGGTAGAATAGGAGAGGCAACTGCTCACCTTCTTTCTTTCACCCATTCAGAAAACATTAGTGGCTCTGAGGCACAACTGAGAACAGCATTGAGGCTTTATCAATGCTACTGTTCCATGAGGACCAACTACATGTCAGGCGCTAAAGGTCATCTCGCTTAACTGTTACAACACTGAGTCTTTTAGCCTCATGTTACAGATAAGAAACAGGCTCAGGATAAAAAAGCTGCTTGCCCAAGGTCACACCAAGAATCAGCAGCATGACCCGAAATAGAGTCTGGGTCAGTCTGGCCTACCAGCAGACATGGGGGCCAGGTACCCACGGACTGAGAATAACAAATCTAGAAGGGATTCAAGGAGCCCTTAAGAATCAAAACCACTTCATAGATGGGCAATGGAAGTTATGAGTGAGGGCCAGAACAAGAAGATAGGGTTTCTGACTCCTAGCTCAAAGCTCCTATCAGAGAGCACTTTTCCATTGTAGATATCAGAGCCTCAAAGGGAGAATCAGATCACACTTCCAGCTTCCCCTGGACACTAGCACAGGACCTCATGAGTGTTTGTTGGGTCACAAATTCAGAGCCAGAGGGGCCTCAGAGATCTAGCTCAAGCTGGACAGAAGATGGTATTAAGGAATTATTAATTTTGTTAGGTACGATAATGGCATTTTGGTTGTTTAGAGAGACAGAAACACACACCTTATCTGTCAGAGAAATATTTACAAATGAAATGACCCAATGTTGGGGTTTTGCTTTAAAAATACTTGTTTCAGAAGAATGAGAAAGAAGGGGCAGGGCAGTGGTGAAACAAGGTTGGCCATGTGTCGATGACTATTTGGAAGATGAATGATGAGTACATGAGGGTTCGCTATTCTACTTTTGTGTAAGTTTTTTAAAAAGATCTATGATCCCAAGATGAGAGTAGTATGCTGTGGTTCAGAGCCCGGGCCCCAGATTAACCTAACCCAGACCCCGACCCCTGGCTCTACCACATACTATCTGACCCTTAGCAAGTCACTCCCCATCTGAGCTGCTTTTCTCATCTGACAAATGGAAGCGATAGTACCAATACTTACCCAGCTTGGGGAAAAATTTAAATGGTCTCCTATAATACCTGACGGAGCAACCTGTCCCTAAGTAATATCATTTTCTTTAATACTATTATTGCTGTTATTACTTTCACACTGCCTCATGACCAAGGGCTAGAGGCCAGAGATACTAACTTGAGGCTGTGGCCTGGAGTCTCTAAAATACCAGCTAACTCTGCCTCCAATACTTTCTCAGGGGTTACCCTTAATAACTGAAACACAACTCAGGGGCACCCCCAGGACCTTGAAGGCTAAAGCAGAGACTCACCTACAGCCCGGAAGAGACAGGCACCATCCTCCTTCATCTGCTTGATGATGAAGCCCTTCTTGTCTCGCAGTGCCTTTTCAAACCAGTGCTCCTGCTGGAGGGAGAAGTAGGGGTCAACAACAGGAAAAGCCTGTACCCCTTCCCCAGGGCCCTGCCCTTAAGCTCCTGAGGGACCCAGCTGATTAGCTGAGAGGATACTGGGCAGGCTCAAGTTCTCAGCCCTGTTTGACCACTCCATGCATGTGGAGCGGGAGGAAATCCTTTCTTTTAGGGAATCAGTTATTGTGTGAGCAAAAGACTTGCTCCCAGAGGGGCCCCAACTGCCCTGAGAACAGAGGTTCCAGCTGCATTGTGCCTCCTGCTGACCATCCTGGCAGCCAGAGGCCCAGAGCTGGCAAGTACCTGGGAGAAGAACTTGGCTCTACCTCAAGATATTTCACCTGGGTCATTCTTAGGGTAAGAGAGATGTTGAGAAGGGAGTGACTGGCAAGATCCTGAGCCCCATATATAGCTAGGGAATTCTAAGATCTTACATAAGGCAAAATATATCATACAAGGGAAAATGCATGTAAAATATGATCTCACTTGTGATTGAACACATTTAACATATATATGTATATGCATATGTATACAAACACACATGCACACAAAGTTGGGGAGGCTATACAACAAAATATTATCCCTAAGTGTTGGTATTACAGGTGATTTTACTTCACTTCCTTCTTCATAAGAGATGTACACTCCCTTGTCCAAAATTCTAAAACTCAAAAAGTTTTGAAAACCAAGTCTTTATCTAACTCGTTTGGCATCATAACCTGATTTAAGCTGATGAGAACCTATTTATCCCACATGGAGGTTAATATTCAAACATTTCCATGCAGAAAAATTTAGGTATTTGATTATGAGGTGCTGCCACAGACCCCACCAGAGGTGTTACAGAATATAAAGCATACACACAAGGTGACTTTCCTAAATTCTAAATTTTTTCTAAATTCCAAAGCACATCTGGCCCCAAAGGAAGTTCAGGTTAAGTGAACCTGTACAAATGTGTATTTTCAGACATGTTTTTAAAAAGATAATGTAGAGATTAGAAAAAACATAGAGGATTTTTAGGGCAGTGAAACTACTATGTACAATACTATAATGGTGGATACGTGTCATCATACATTTGTCCAAACCCACAGAATGTACACCACCAAGAGTGAACCCTAATGTAAACTATGGACTTTGGGTGATTGTGATGTGTCAATGTAGGTTCATCAATTGTAATAAATATATCACTTTGGTGGAAGATGTTGATAATGGTGGAGGCTATGCATGTGTCAGGGCTAAGGGTATACGGGAACTTTCTGTACCTTCTGCTCAATTTTACTGTGAACCTAAAACTGCTCTAAAAAATAAAGTCTATTTAAAAAATAAGTATCCACATGTTACTTGAAGCATTTTCCATTTCAAAACAAAACAAACCTGAAGCACCAGACCTTTCCCAGGCCCCTCACGCCCTCTGCTGGCTACCAGAAGAAGCCAGCCTAATCCAGCATCAGAGCTAACAACCAGAAGTCCCAAACCCACTCCTTGGGAATACCACCCTACCCAGGGATTTATAGGATCCAGGCTAATGCCAACCAGAGGAGATCACCTCTCTGCAGGCCTTTTCCCCTAGCTCATGTGAGGTAGGAAACACAAGGTTTGGAGGCCAAAAGCTCTAGGTTCCAATCTCAGCTCTGTTGCTCACTTGCTGCATGATTTCAGGTAAGCTACCTGAACTCTCCAATCCTCAGTTTCCTATCAAACAGGGGATATGTGATCTATCTGACAGGGCTGTCAAGAAGCTCAGAGGAGCTTTAGGACCAGAAAAAGCTTTGTAAATAACATACCATATACTGGTGAGGTGGTAACCAGTCACAGAAGGGGTGAGACAGGCACAGAGATAATGTACAACTGAGACCCTCAGAAAGTTCCAGGTGAGTGACTGAACAGGAAGGAACGAGGAGGGGGTGACAAGGGAATACCCAGCAGGCCCCACTATCAGGGCCCACACCCTGGGTAGGTATGGCTGGCTTTCCAGAGATGACAAAGGCACTGGGAAGACCTTAATGGGCTTCCATGAGCAGCATAAAGACTTGTTTGTATACAACATTCCTGCAGTCCAGGTGCCCCTCCTGCCCCAGAGGCTGTAAACGAGCACACTCCAGCCAGCTGCTCCAAGTCCATCCCTGCCTGGTGGGATCAGCCATCTTCCAGCACCATGGCACCTGCCCCAGCCAGAAGTTTCCAGCAGAGAAACTACAACTATGGTTACAGCCTCAGACTGGACAATAGTTCTAAAAAAGGGCACACAGCAACCTCCTGCCCTCAAATGTAGGGGAAAAGAAGATCAAAAGAGAAAAGAGGATCAAAGAGGATGAGAGAGCTCCTACTTATTCACCCAACAAAGGTTTACCAGGCAGCTACTAAGTCAGACCCTAGGCTGGCAATGAGGCCAGAGAAATGAAATCAGACCTGCTCTCTACCCTCGGTAAGCTCACAAACTGCTAGAGGTATGTCGGCAATGACTACACACAAGTGTGAGGAGGGCTGTGAAAGAGATGAACACACGGATGCTGGGGAACACAGAGGAAGGGACTTGGCCAGTCATTAAGGCAGACACCTGAAAGGAGGTGCTATTGGAGCAAAGGATTAAAATACAAAGATCTCCAGAAAAGCTTGTGAATTGGATAAGAAATTACTTCTGCCACAAAGCACCAGGGATTCCAGAGGCCAGCAATGAGCTCAGCAGAGCTAAAGTCCCGGGTAGGACTAAGAGAGTAAGCAGGGCAGGGCCAAGAAGATAGATGAACTCCTATTAGCCAAATGCCTGTACTATGCCAGGTGCTAGATGCAAAAGATGACCTCATTTAATTGTCCTTACCACAGCCCAAATGGCAGAAAGTGTTACCCTCATTTTACGAAGGCAGAAAGAACTGGGAGTTTGGGCACCAGCAAGACCTAGTGTAGAGGCAACAGGGGAGGCCTCATGAGCTATAACATGGAGACATAACTAGCAGACCATCCTGGGAAAATCCTGGTTTGTCCTTAAAAATGAAGGAGAGCTGAGCATACCCTATGCACAAGCAGAGCTTTGGTCCTGGGGCAGTCAGGGTGGCAGCTGAGCCTGGAATTGGAGGCCAAACCACTAGCCACCCACTGGCTTTGGCACCTGCAGCCTAAGAGTCTGGACTGGCTGAAACTCCCTTTGGGGAGAGAAAACGGGGAGGTCTTGGGTTCCAGAAAGAGTTTAGACAGTCCCATGAGTTCCTAGCACAGTCTCTTCCTTCTCCCAGCTAGACAGGAGCCTCCAAGAAAGGTGCCAACTCAGAATTTGTTTAGGAAAATGACCCAGGAAGGACAAGCTAGTGGGAGTGAAGGGTGGGGGCTGGCCCAGTCATAAATAAGTTTAAGCTACATCAATGCCCTGGCCTGAGAAAGTCAGACCCTCAATCTTGCAAGTCCACTACTGAAACTATAGGCAAGTCCCTCCACATCTCTGAGCCTCCACAAAGGGGCTGGGCAAAGATCTCTGACACCAGGAGATCCCAGGTACAAGACTGCAACCTACTAGTCCAAAGGCCCAAGAAAAGTTGAAGTAGACAGTGGCACCCAAATGACAGGTTCCAATGCAGCTCCAATTATTAGCCATGTGATGACCTGCTCTAGAGCTTTCCAATAATAGAGATACTACGCAGACTCAAATATTACAGGACTCTGCCCAGTAGGAGAGAATTTAATGATGAGTTCCCTTCCCCTCCCTGGAAGGGAAACAAAAACACCCCTGTAGCAGGCTGAATAATGACCATCCAAACATATCAGGCCCTAACCCCTGGAACCTATAAATGTTACTTTATAAGGAAAAAGGGTCTTTGCAAGTGTGATTAAGAATCTTCAGATGCAAAGATTATCTTGGAGTATCTGGATTGGACCTAAATGCAATCACAAGTGTACTTAAAATAGCAGAGGAAGATCTAATACAGACTGAAGAGGAAACCACACATACACAGAGATGATGATGATGATGATGTGAAGACAGGCAGAGGTCAGAGCAATGTGCTCACAGACCAAGGAATGTTGGCAGCCTTCGGAAACTGAAAGAGGTTTTCCTCTAGAGCCTCTGGAGGTAGTACAGACCTGCCAACAGCTTGATTTTGGACCAATGAAACTGATTTTGGACTTCTGGCCTCCAGAACTGAGAGACTACATGTCTGTTGTTTTAAACCACCTGGTTTGTAGTAATTTGTCACAACAGCCATAGAAAAATAATATAACCCCTTGTAGCACTCCTGGTGTGAGCTATGAGGCAACATGACATGGCTCTCACCCCACAGGATCCACCTCTCCAGGGAAAGGGTTAGAAATAAGGCAGCAGGGGCCTGGACTCTCCCACAGCCTGAGAAGCTGCTAATCCTGCCTGCCGATGAATGAGCTTCCACTGAAGGGGGGAAAGGGGCAGGGGAAGATGGCGGAAGCAATGGCAGCTCATAGACAGATGTTTTCCCAGAGCCCATGGCCAAGAGGTAGTTAGTATTCTGGGCTTCACAGCTCTATCCCAGCAAGCCTGGTGCCAAGATCACTTCCCCCTAAACACCCAGGAACACTGGCTCAGCTCCACTGGCAAAACGCAGGCAACTCATCCAATGAGAAAGAGACAGATGCACTGCTCTTTAAGAACCAACACAAGATCTCCAGGGTGGAGAAGTGGGAAAAGAGGAAGGACACTGGGGAAGCGGTTAAAAAATGAAGATTCTATTATTCAACAAAAAGAAATGTAGTACTGATATATGCTACAACATGGATGAGCCTTAAAAACATTATGCTGAGTGAGAGAAGCAAGTCACAAAGGACTGCATATTGTATGATTCCATTTAAATGAAACATCAGATGAAACAAATCAATCAAGACAAAAATAAAAAGTAGATAAGCAGTTGCCAGGAGCTGGGAGAAGATTAAGAGACTGCTGGACGATGATGCGAGGTTTCTTTTTGAGGTGATGAAAATGTTCTAAACTTGATTGGTTGTGGTGATGATCGCACAACTGTGTGAGTACATTAAAAGCCACTGAATTGTACACTTTAAATTGGTAAATTGTATGGTGTGTGAATTACTTCTCAATAAAACTGTAAAAAGCAAAAAAACCCCAAGGACCTATAGCACTGGCCGAGGAGAAGGAAACGGAACACTGCTTGAAACTTCATAGCATACCCCTAAAGCCAAGGGGCCCCACTCGAAACTTTCACGATGGGCTGGGGGAGTGGGGAACAGGGAACTAAAGAAGATGTTACGACTAGCTTCATAACACTGAGTCCGACCACCCTCCTCACCACTATCCATTTTATGAATGGAGAAATTGAGACCCAGAAAAGGGAACTGCCTGAAGATACTGGACTCAAAGCCAGGGGACCACTTCTTACTATATACCACTCTGCCTCCCCACTAGAGGAATCGGCAGGTTCCTAAATGCCAAATGATGGGTCTTTGCTAACAAAGACTGGTTGTTACAAAGGCTCCTAGGAAGAACCCAGATGATCCTGGGGAAACTGCAAGAGAAGAATCAGCCAAGGTCTGAGGTGGGCCAGGTCAGGTATTTACACACTCAATCTGATCACACTGGCTTGGGTGGACTTCTGTTTTTTGTTTTGTTTTGTTTTGTTTTAATAAAAGGCAGCTAAGAGTTTGCCTAAAGCTGTAAAGCAGCTAAGCAGGAGAACCTGGAGTTTGAATTGAGGCATGCCCAGTTCCAAAGCCCTGACAGGCAACCCTGAGCTTAGTCACCACAGCACGGATGGCCAAAAAAATCAGTCTACCAACCCTGAGCCTTACACCAAACAGGCCACTTGTATTGCCCACCAAGTTTGGATGGCTGGGAGGAAACAGAATGGGGGCAGGGGAGTGGGGGGAGGAACATGGTTCTTTCTCAAAAGACACCCACCATTCTCTGTCACCTCTAGGTCTAGAGAACTTTGGTGTGAGTTCCCTAAAATCCCAAAGCTAAATGATACCCCACCAGCTCCTTACCTGACCAATGAGGAAAGAGGCCCAGAGAGTATAGGCAGAACTATTCTGGTTCATCCAGCAAAACCCCAACAAAGCCTGAGTGAGAACCCAGGTACCCTGGCTATAGTGCCAGGTCCAGCTTCTCCCATCACCTCAGCATGCATGCCTCCTTCTCAAAATGTTCTGTGGGGTCCTCAAGCTGAGAATGCTTTCAAGACATTCTTTTCATATGGTAGACTCTCAGCAAAGCAGTCATGCCTGAGAAAGAAAACCCCTGACCCCAGGGTGCCAAAAGGGCTCCTAAAGGCAATAAAGAAGTACAGTGACAGCACTAGGACAGACAGGAAGTCTGAGTAGTCAGAACAAGGATCAGATTCATCATGTGGGCTCCCTCTCAACAACTCCCCTCTTTCCCAAGGGCTCTAATTGGTCTCCATGCTACAAATGCCCCAGTGACTGTTCAGGACCAAGACTAAGTCAGCAGAAAGAATCTCCCCTTCTTCTCATCCCCACAAGGTCCCAAGTTGGCCCAGGTGAAGCAGGGAGAAGTATCTTTTTCCTTCTTTTGTCCCAAGAAGTGGGAGGACAGGAAGCCTCTCCTCTGTCATTGGGAAGGGAAGATATCATGCAACCATAGAGCTTTGTTTCCACGTTCTTATAGGAACAAGTTTAAAGGAAGAACTCTCAGCCCAGGAGATGCAAAGGGTATGTAAGGAGGTATCTTTCTAGTCACCATGGCAGTGCATGACTTTCTTCCTCTCTGTCCCTGGGATCAGGGATGTATCGCTCCCTGTTTCTGTGGAGGAGGAAAGGCAGACTTTACCCCAACCAGGAAGAGAAGAAATAACTCCTGGCCCTGACCTTGTGGGTCCAGATGATTTATTCTGCCTGTAGTAATGGGTAGAAAGGTAACAAGGATGGGGGCTCCTGTGAAGTACAGAAATATTTACCTGAGCCAAGGGGGAGAGGGTTATGGGTGAAGAATTTCCCTGGAGTGAGGATGTCCCAAACCCCTTTTCCTGTCTATGGGAAGAAAAAAACTTGTTGAAAGCAATTCAGGAAGCTCAGACTATTTCCCTGATCCTGGAAATGAGAAGCAAGCAGAATCAAGTCAGGGAGAGTCTCAGAATATCCCCTAGCTCTTGAGGGGAGGTCTCAGTCCCCATGTCCCCAGTAACTGACAACATTCTCATAGAAAGTAGGGGGATCTTCCTGGACTGAGAGTAAAAGTTTCTTATGACTGTGAAGAACACTCAGGTACTTCGATCTAATGGGGAGGCATTGGGCCACACTGAGGAGGATCTCATGTCCTTCTTCCTGGTGGTAAAGAATTGCCTGGTTGGGGCAGGGGAGAGCCTCATACCCAAGAGGGTAGGGCTCAGGCCCCTCCCTAAGGTAGGATATCTTG